CTTCGGGAAGAATTAATTGTTCTCAGATTCCCAGTTTTCTCCTGCATCTTCAGCAAGTGTGATGTCAAGGAGTAACCTTGGCAAGTTTTCGTCTTGCTCATGAGAATAATCTGTAGATTTTACAGAACAAGGTAGTACTGGGAGAAAATTGAGGTGGGATCTTCTCTCAAGAGGAGCTTCTCAAGCCTTCCAGTAATTGCCAAAGTTGCTGGAAAAGGTCACATTCCTGCAGGCAAGGAGTGGTTCAGTATAGGAGCGTTATCTCTGATCATACGATTTTCTTTACAAGAGGCAGGCTGTGTCAAGGCTGAGATAAAAAAAGGACTCTGGCAGCTTTCATGTAACAGCTAAGCAGCCTGTCCTGTTAGGAAAAACAGTTCCCTTCGGATGATCTGGGTAACGTTATGGCCCACTGACTCCTCCGAAGAATCAGCTTTTAAAATGTGTCCTATTTTGGATGTCACTTGTGGATTTTTAACTGATCAGTTGATTGCATGAGAAGCTGCTCTTGGCTTTCAGGTAGCTCCCTCCCTCTCTGACTTAATAACAGAGGGTTTTTCTAGCACACATCCCTTTCCTCTGGGTTGTGCCTGGTTGCAGACTTTTGGCTCTGTGGACCTAGATGCAAGGTGAAACATCGGCCAATGGATGATGAGTGCATCTCCCACCAGCAAGCTACAAACCAGCCTGGGGAATACAACGTGATGATTTGAGGGAAGCACCTTTGCCCTCCAGAGGAGCATTAGAGAATAAGCTTTAGCATCTACAAGAACTGCATTGCAATAGACTTTGCCCGTGCACATAGCACCGTATATATTTGGGGGAAATGAGGGTAGGAGAGCTTCAGATTTCCATATCCTTGTTTATAGCTTCTTATTGTAGCTTCAAATGAATTGGTGTGAACTTTATAACATAGTGTGAGCAAGTCGTTTGTCATCTTACGTTAATGATACCTGTATTTCACACTTGCTTTCAACCCTTGAGTAGGTTTGTGAAGTGCAGTGCTTTTCCTTCCCACAGTGGATGGCTTCGTGGTGCAGAAAGTTGGCTCTCAGTGGCATTTCTCCTGTTTCACATTTGGTAACAAGTTTGACAGTGGCTTTGCAGCTGGCCAGATAAATCTTCATGGAACCTTGTAGAAACTAAACCAGCAGACCAAGTAGACCAAATGGTCTATATAGACCAAGCTCCTAGAAATTTCTCGCTGAAGCTGGTAGTCGGTTGAGTTTCTGTATCATGTTCTTTGATGTAGAGCTGTTTTCTCTGCAAAGTGAAGTGGAAGGATGTGACCGATCCTGCATTTCACTTATATGGATATATAAATAAATTGGAGAAAGTGCTGGGAATGTCCTTCCTGCTTCTTTGACATTTTGAGGCATGCAGTGCTTGGCAAGCTCACAGGATATCTTGGCTTGACCACATCCTTTTGCATTAAAGTTGAGGCAGAATTTCCATCTTTTCAGTTTTATTTAGCACAGTTGCATTGACTCTCGCTTAGAGTTTATGCTGTGATAGAGTTGGTGGGATTCTTCATGTACCAGTTACGCTGGGTCCTCACGATGAGAAGGACGATGGCAATTTGTGTTTCAAATAACATACCCGAAGGATCATATATGTTTATGAAATGTGTATGAACATTGATTTTTTCAGTCCTCTTTTGCCTTAGAGTGATTGCTGCCAGTCTTTCTTCCCACCTCAGATATTGCAGCATGAAAACAACCATTTTTATTTTTTTTAATACTGCATTTATTGAATTTAATTAGAATGGAGTGATTTTATATTTTTTTGTTGTTTTACTTTGAAAAGGCTGACAAAAACCCCTTAAGACTGTTAGAAAACAACAGGAGCGAAATAATGGGATAAAAAGTTGTTCTTTGTCATCCTTTATTTCTTCTTGTGAACCTCACAGCTATGTTAGGGCATGCATCAGAAGAGAATAAGTTAAAAATAGCCTGTGAAAAGGTATTTCTGTTGAAATAGCTGATTCTAGCTGATGGCTCAGTTGTGTGTAAAGAGTTCCAAGAAGAAACGCTCTTGTTTTATCATGATTTAGTATATTCCTTTTTTGTTTTCCCTCACCTTGGTGTTCTCGTGTTACCCAGAGTCCTTTGATTTTTCACTCTCAGCCAGAAGTGGCAGAGCAATATTCCAGGTCAGTTCCCCTGTTACTGTGAACTCAGGTTTCAGGAATGTAACACAGATGACAAAAATAGATTTGGCTGAGGCGGTGTCACCATCTAGACAGAGTGAAATGAAATGTGAATCCCAGCTGAAAAGGCAGTCCAGTTCCATTAAACTTTGAAAATACTAACACAACATCAGGCTTAGCAGCAGGGCAGGGTAGAGAGCCCAGTATCCCTGGAAATGCAAGGGAATGTTCCCACCTGCCACCTGAGCAAGCTTCTGTGGTTTATGCCATAAGGAAAGCCTGTAGTTCCAGCCGAGGGCACAGCAGCCACTTGCCCACATCATAGAAGGTTCAGTGATACTAAGCAAGAGAGAAGAACGCCCCTGGCTGTTGTCTTATGAGATTTTATCTTTCTGAGAGGGGCTGGAAATAAATGGCATTAATTATGGCAAGGCCTACGTAGTTTTTGTGTGAAATACTAGAATGGTTCTTAGTGAGTAATTGCCCTGAAAAAAAAGCTGTCAGGAATAAACTGAGAGACCACAAAGGATGGAGAAAGAAAACAAAAACTGTCTTGGAAGTCAAAATGTGTGAGGATAAAGTAAAGATTGCCAAAACTCATGCTGGGTTAGACTTTGCAAAGGGAAGGAAAGCAAGCAGCTGTATTCCTTAAGCATTTAAGTAAAAGCAAGGTAAGGGAGAGCTGAAGTGGATCCACAGTGAAGATGAGGCTGACCTAAAATGCAATTTTAGGTACAGTCAGGCAGTCAAATGAATGCTTGGCTTCCGATTTCAGTTGGGACAATGACATCGGAGCAAAAGAAATCAGTATGTAGCAAGATTTGGAAATGGAAAGTAACCCAATGAAGCCGGAAGCAAAATTTAAATATTACTGTACTGTAATGAGTGGAAATAAAATGGGACCAAATAGTCTTTGTCTCAGAAGAGTGCAAGAATTGTGAGCTTTGTGGTAACAATTCCTGATTAAACCAAGCTATCCCGATGTACCTTGACTATCTAATTCAAAATAATACCGTGTGACCACTGGGCGACAGAAGTTATGGCCTGCATACAAAACAAGTAAAAAGAAAAGAAAAAAGAAAAGATCTGAACAAGTATCTGTTAATCTGAACAGTATATAAACCACCTTCTTTCAAGGAATAACTAGAGGCTGCTAGTTCTGCAAGTGAAGTCCTTGGCTGTTGAGAAGGTAAGTGGTATAAAAAGTGACCTGGATTCCCTGCAGACTATGCAGCTATTCCGACAGCTTTCAGTGACGGACGAGCCTCCGGAAGGGAATAGTGCATCTAAACAGTTTGGGCTTCGGTACAGCGCCTGAAGGCTGCTGCCACATGGAAATGATTATTTAAACGGAATAAAATGAGGGGGTAGTACGTGCAGTGTCACGTAGCTAAGAAGTTGACTTTAATGAGATGTTAGAGGTATTATTGAAAAAAGGAAACAATGGGGTTGGATGTCACTTAGAAGCTGTGGAGTTTCCCAAAAAATGATCTGGGGACTGATCTTTGTTATGGTTTCACTAAAGTTACTGGCAAAAAAAAAAAAAAAAAAAAAAAAGGAAAAAGTCTGCTAAGGAAATGAATTGTTGAGGCAACATTTCGAAAACCCTCATGGATGCAGAGGAGGAGAGGCATGTCGTACACTAAGAACCGCAAAGTGTTGCGGACTGTGATATTAAAAATAGAAACGTAATAGTAGAAAGCACCAGGTCATGCACTAAGAAAGCGTTGAGAATTTTGGCTACCAGCAAGGTGCTTATCAGTTGAAAGCAGAGAAGGAGAAAGATGTGAATATCAGTCAATAAATAAAAGCCACCAGTATTATGTGGCATATAAATAGGCAAACGTGCTCCCAGCGTGTGTCAGATGAGAGATTTCTGGCAGGGTTGTATGTTACGCTGATAAAGCCTCATCTGGAAAGCTGTGTTCAGTTCTAATCGTGCAGGTTCTGGAAAGATTAATCCAGACTGAGACAGGTGCAGAGACCTTAGGGGATGATCAGCACCCTGGAGAGCTTATGAGAGGGAGGTTGGGCTGGTTTAGCAGAGCAAAACAGAAGCTGGGAAGGATTGGGCTTGGTAAACAGTGACAGGTTATTTAAGATAAAATACTAGAATTTTAAAGAGAGGTGGTGAATGCAGGTTAGAATTGAATTCATTGAGTGCCACAGGGATGAAGCTCCTGTATACTTTTCTCCCAACTGCCTGGTTCACATGTCATTGCAGTTTTCTGGGGTTGGTGGTATTTGGGCTTTTGAACATCTCACCTAGATTGCTCCCTGTGGTTCATTTAATCACAAACACTGATTAAAAAGTAAATGAATTCAAGTAAAAAACAAAAAGTTCGAAAACTCACTCCAAGTGGGCCTTTTTCATTCCCTCTCTCCTTCATCTTTAAGTGATAACAGTATTTTCTTGCTCCCTAATTCTGCAGGCCTACCTTGACTGGTAATAATTGTAATGTGCAGCAGGATTGCCCTGTAGCATTCCTACAATGTCTCATGGAATGTATCCAGTCTGGCCAGGCCTTCCCCAGCACGTCCTACATGGGCTTCACTGCAGCTCTAGTTTTCGCAGCTAAAATGACCCTATAGCCTCTCTCAACTGGGACATAAAAAGTTCTTTCTAGTGTCTTATTAGCCAGATCCACTAAGATTCCCTTTTGCAGTCTGGCTCCCCAGCAGGTTCTGCCAGTAGTGGTGAACGGGATAATGACATAAGGTATTCTCTCGCTTTATTTACCTCCCTCTGCCTCGTGCCCTTTTTTTCCCAATTGCTCTATTTCCTTACAAAAATCGCAGTTCTGACAGTCTCATTTCTTTTTTTTTTTTTATTCACTGGCTTATTCTTTAGGTTCTAATGTCAACGGGCTGGAGGAGCCCAGTCTGGCCAAGCGGCTGCGTGGCACGCCTGAGCGCATCGAGCTGGAGAACTACCGTCTGTCCCTGCAGCGGGAGGAGGAACTGGAAGAGGTTCCCGAGGAGACGCTAGCAGAGCATAACCTGAGCAGTGTGTTGGACAAAGGAACAGAAGAGGATGTGCCCAGCAGGTTAGCACACGTTGTCCATAAGCTTTTTTTATACCCATCCCAACAAACTTTTCCCTGCTTTTCCCATCGCTTTTTTTAACGTAGAATTTACCAGGTTGCTCTTTCTGAGATTGTTGAAAATGTTCTCTGTGTGTACACAGGTATTTTATCTTGTAGTTTCTGTTCTTCTAAATGCTGGCTGCCATTCTTAGAAGATACCTGTAGTACCATAGTGCCATTAAATTCAGTCCTAAGTTGGAAGGGATTTTTTAGTTATGTCAAAGACAAATGAGTCTTTTGAGCAAACAGAACATGGATACAAATGGGAGAGAATTCCAAAGTTAACTTCTTTTCTGTATGTTTTGCGTTAGAATTCACAGAATCACAGAATGTCAGGGATTGGAAGGGACCTCAAAGGATCATCTAGTCCAATCCCCCCAGTTCAAAACCATTTTTGGTTTAAAGATTCAAGCTTGACACACATGTAATCCTGACTCAATGCTGATGCGATGCCCGAGAGATTAATTTGAAGTAATAGTCATGTCTGTTGAAAAACATGTTGTACTTTCACAAATTTCCCTTTATCTGCAAAATGACGTATAAGCGCACCAAGATCCAGATCTATGCAGGTAGAGCTACTGGAAATAGTTGTTTCAAGAATCATTGAGAGAAAATACTTGATGAAGAGGGCTTGTGAACTTTATAGTCAATCACACATGTTTTGCAGAGCCTTGATCTCTTAATATGGTTTCTAATAGCCTGCTTTTCTTTGTAGCAATAACAACCCTTACTTTTTCAGCTCTCAGTCTGTCCAGTAATCATCCTGAAGTAAACTCAGAAAATGCTGTTACTGGTTTCCTCAGTCTTAGATCCTACAAATGTATTCTATGTATACATTACCTACAGGCATAAGGCTGTATGAGAAATTCCTTACGGCATTTGTACATGTGAAATTGAATTGGATTGGTGTGGTGAAGAATGCAGGAATAAAAACGTTCATTAAAATGTTTACAGGATTAATGTAGTACAGAATCTGTCATCTATTTATCTAGTAAGATAAGAAAGGAGTAACTTTTAGTAGCCTGAACTCAGCCTTGAGAGAGCATGTACATGTGAGCTCACAAAGTTGTGGATTTCATATAAGTGCCTGGCAATTCCTAATATCTTGTAGAGCTGTTATCTCTGAAGCCTAAATAATATGTTTTGATTAATCTCTTAACATATTAATTTATTTAAAAGATACTATTTTGACATTTTACATAACCGAGATCTTATCTAGTGCTCTGGTTGAATAATCATGAGACTATTTGTGGGAGGTGCTAACTGTTTGCTTCACTCATCCTTCCTTTAGCTCCCTGCTCAGGCCTAGGAATTGTATAAACTGTGACAAATAAGCATTAATGATATTGAGGGGTTTTTAGTCCTTTATGTTTCTAGCTCTGAACCAAAATTTACTAGTGTGGAGTAGTATTATCATTATTGGTCTTGATTTCAGTAAATCAGGACATGGTAGGCTGGCTTGGTAAATGGCAGAAGACTTCCAAAGGAGGGAGGAGTGTTAGTTAAAAAAAAAAGTGGAGTTTTGGTGTGAAGCTGTTGGTCATCTCCAAGAGGTGTTTTGTGAGATTGTGGAGACTGAGGGTGGTACACCCTTAGGTTAGCGAGTTTGATTTTTCTCTCATAGGGTGCTACATTTAGCTCCCTTTGTCCTACATACTTCCCTTGATTTGTATTAAATTGACTGTTTCTGTCTGTAATAGATTGAATTGTAGGATTTTGCATGTGAAAAGCAGCATTTAGTGGGCAACTCACACTCTATGATAGAGAGGAAAGAGAAAATACATCAAATTCCCTGTCAATTTGACCCGGAAAAATTTCTGTCCCAAATCCAAATATGACAAGGAATTTAATGAGAGCATTGATGAAGTTCTGCAGGCCAAACATCAGGGAGAGAATTTTGTAGATGATTTAGCTATTGGGTCTCCTCTAAAAAAAAAAAGTCTGACACCACATTTTCAGCAACAAAAGAAAACCAGTTTGACCCCTGCAACAAGCCAACCAAAGCCCTGATTTGATCGTCTTCACTGTCTTGGTGCGGTGCTGCAGGGTTAAGAGCAGTCAGAGGAGATGGGAAATTTTTTATTTCCTCTGTGTCTTATGGAGTGATGGATTGGGCTTGTCTGGCGAAGGAAGAGAAGAGCTTTGTTTCCAGTTTAGGTTTTGGTTCCTCTCCTTAGCACTAAATCTGTGTAGGTACACCTTTTGAATGAGATATTCAACTGCTGGTACAAATTCTATAAAGCAAATTACTTTGGTCTTTGATCTCTGCTTTGTGGGGAAAAAAGTTTCAGCTGTTGAATGAATTCCTGTGGCATGGAGTTGCCATGTTGGAAAGAATGCCCACTATACCAGGCCATCTCGCTGCCATATTTCAGCTTCTCACTTCTCAGTATTCAAAGGTCAAACAAAACCCAAGTTATAAATAAAAGCCAAAGAAGGTAAAGTGAGCTATGTGGTAAAGAATTTATGTCGTCAGTATTCCATGAGATAAGCAGGCTGGTCCCATTCAGCAGTCATGGCAACAGTTGGAGCAGCAGTAAACCTTGCTGACAGCACACAAAAACCCCAGCATGCAGCACCTGCCAGGTTTATTTCCATACCAAAAGGTGGGAAAGTTAATCACTGAGGAGGGGAATATCACTTTTTATCTCTGTGACGATATCTGTATTATGCCTTTGGAATATGCTTCCATCTCCTGGAATATGTGCCGAGTCTATGGCACACAAGGGTGTTTGTATTCAGTATTTAGCAGGTGAAAACCAGGAAGCCTGTTAAAAATAAGTATTGAGTTTATGCTGTGATTTAAGCGAAACGGTGTGTTATCTATATGCAGAACAGTGAGGAGAATTTAAGAGCCTGTGGATGGAAGTACGTGACAATCAGAGCATGAAAAAAAGTGGTGTTTTCTTGATTAACTTTGCCATCAAAAATAATATCTCGGACAAGCAGATGAAGAAAATCATGTAAATATGATTGGGTGGTGTGAGACTCATTTGAAGTTCTGCACCTGAATATGTTTGTCTGCAATGTAAGACAAAAGGTGCTGCCGTGGATCATTTTTTGGAAAGTGCTACTTGGTGACATGCTGAGTGCTCGTATAACAGAATCTGCGTAAAGGAGACAAACAATAACTGTCCAAGTTATATTTTATAGACCTACTTGAAATTTCAACATCATTATTTTCAACTGGTTGGTTTTCCCTCTCATTGTCTGTATGGAATGGCCTCTGCCAAAGGCTGTTAACGAGACTGTCGTAAGGAAGCCGCAGAATTGGAATAGTGTTCTCAGATGATTCAGCCAAACTTTAACCAGTCACAAACAGTTGCCTCTTGCAATCCAAATGAATTTGGGACTTTTCAGATTTATGTGGGAAGCAGCCAACTGTTGCTCCAATAAATGCAGTTCTTTTATGACAAGGATCTATTAAGGAAGAGCAAAGGCTGAGGACCTTTTCACGCTGCAGATATATTAGAATCATAGAATGGTTAGGGCTGGAAGGGACCTTCAAAGGTCATCTAGTCCAACCCCCCTGCAACAAACAGGGATATCTCCAACTAGATCAGGTTGCTCAGGGCCTCGTCCAACCTGGCCTTGAACATCTCCAGGGATGGAGCATCCACCACCTCTTTGGGCAACCTGTTCCAGTGTTCTACAACTCTCATGGTAAAAAATTTTTTCCTAATATCCAATCTGAATCTACCTCCCTCTATTTTAAAACCATTACCCCTTGTCCTATCACAACAGGCCCTCCTGAACAGCCTCTCCCCATCTTTCTTGTAGGCCCCCTTGAGGTACTGGAAGACCACTATAAGGTCCCCCCGGAGCCTCCTCTTCTCCAGGCTGAACAGCCCCAACTCTTTCAGCCTGTCCTCATAGGAAAGGTGCTCCAGCCCTCTTATCATCGTCGTGGCCCTCCTCTGGACCCTCTCCAACTGGTCCATGTCCAGCATATTCTCTGAATATGCTGTAGTTCACCTTCATTTTTCCAGTGACAAATACAACCATCTTTCTCCTCAGTACCTCCAGGTAGTCCAGCAAGTAAAAGTGAGCTAGATTAAATGTCATTATATAGGTGGTTACATTTCCTGCCCCTGCTGTTTATACTGAGGAACTGTTAGAATTAAACAGAGATGTCTACTAAAAAGCACTAATGATTTACTGGTTTACGTGTTTTAGACTTTGCTGTAAGAATAATAAGCTTATTATTGTCATTATCCTTGCGCTGCTTCCTACAGTTTCTTGCCACTGTGTACTTAATTGGATACATTAGTTCTGTCTGTGACGTAGAAAAGTGAGGAATTTTGGTTTTTTTTTCCCTCCAGCTCTCCTTAGCTCACATGCTGCATCCTTTGGCTTGATAGTTGTGTTGTGTGTTCTTTCTACTCCCAAAGCCTTCTGTGATTCACCCCAGCAAGTGCCAAAAACATCTTAGCTATCCAAAACGCTAGCAGTAGCTGCCACTGTTGAAAGACGTGACCTTCTACGTTACGACAGTGCTGAGCACTCTTGCACCAGCAGTGTGATACGAGGAAGGTCGTTTCTTTCTGCTGTACTCGAGAATGGCCACGAACTGTAACCATTAATGCAGTGCAAATATTGGCACTTGGCTTCACAGGCACTTTGCTGCTGCTTCACCTTCTTTAAAAGAAGCAGGGCACGGACCATACTGCAGCCCACACATGATACTGTCACTAAAATGCCTATGAAATACCGAAAGCAGAAAATTAGTCCTATGGTTTCCATCGTAAGTTTTGGGTTTGTATGCGTTGAAACAACTCGTCAGTAATCTAAGACTGATCTAGGAAACATTAACTAGTTGTTTCTTGATCTTTTTTTCTAAACCTTTACAGTAGTTCAGAGTCTGAGATGGAGGAGGAAGATGAGGAGGAAGACGATGAACTACTGCTGCCTCAGCAACCCCCTTCAGACTTGGGCGGTGTGCCATGGAAGGAGGCTGTGCGCATCCATGCCCTCCTGAAGGGCAAGAGTGAAGAAGAGATTGAGGCTGAGGAAAATCATGAGATCGAGGACAAAGAAGACGAGGAGGAGGAGGAGGAGGAAGATGAAGAGGAGGAAGACGAGGAGTCAAGCGAAGGTTAGACAGTTTGATTTCTCCTTCCTTTCTGATAAACAGCAGGGAAAACTGAGTTGAGGATTTGCCATGCAGAATGAGAAAGGTTTGCCTTGGAAAACCTTCATTCTTCTTTTACTTCTTTGTTGCTTTGATTTTTGAGGGAGTTACTGTCAAGGAAAGCTTTAGGTGGATCATTCTGGATGCAGAAGATCTTTGTCCAGAGGGCAGTTACAGCGCTAGTACCAACACAAGATGTTTCCCATACGCCATGCCAACATGTGCAATTCACGGCTTTGTGACCCTGTATTGGTTTATTGTTGCTTTTTATTAGTATTGGGAATTGGATTTGAATGTGCCCTTTGTTCCTTGGCAGCAAGAACTGGAAGCATTGTGGAGGCAGTGTTCCCAGTTTTGCAGCGTGCTGCGCTCGGGGGTGGTGCCCTCTAACTGTTACCAGGACATCCCAGAAGAAGCCACTTGTAGCTCTCCTTAGTTAAAAGACAGCCTTGAGAAATCAAGGAGTTCAAGTGGTTCCTATTTTAGCTCTGAGGGATTCCTGTGGAAAATCTTAGGGAAAGACTCCTTCCCCTGTGTTTGTCTCAGTCATCAAAATGCAAAGTTTGTGCTAAGAGTGGACGTGCCACATTTCTCGCAGATCTTGTCTTTGCCTTTCTACTCACGTTTCCTTTTTGTGAAGACTAGTAGACTCCAACGAGCTTGTCCGTAAAGGTCTTTGACCACCTAGTGTAAGCAGAGGTCCAATTTTTTGAGTTTTAGTGGCAGTTTTGTTGAGGAGCTCAGAAGTAGCACTTGGCTACTTCTTCAGCGTAGGATCTGTGTCTCCGTAACGGAAGGCTGTGGAAGCCAAGACTGCTCTCGAGGACGGTAACATGCATGTTGTGTGTTCAGTCCGCCAAACCGTGGTGTTCCCAGATGGACGTTGTTTCATTCGAGCAGTTTTCCTCTGGGACACTTTGAACACCGCAGGAGCACGGCGAGTCGCTGGAATTCCAGACAGTCTCTCTTTCTGATGCTGTGCTTTCTCTTTCTCTCTCTCTCCCCATCGCTTGTGTGTGTACACGCGTGTCTGGTGTTATGTATGGATGTGTGGTTCCCTCTGCTGTAGAGGGAGAGTATTGCCCTTGGGAGAGAGAGCTGCAGCAAGGCCTCTGGCTCCAACATCTCTCAAACGAAGAGGACACGGGTACATTTAAAGGTACCCATATACCATCTCCACTTCCATTTCCCCGAAGGAGGGGGGAATGTTTCGAAGAGCAGGTCCCACATGAGAAGTTTCTGTGTTTTATTTAATGGGTTTATACCAGCTCCCTAAAAACTGATTCAGTAGCTGTTGTTATCTTCATCTCCCAGTCCAAGTGCCATGTATCAAGTCCGACATTGCCACTGGATTTAGGCAAAAGATAAAGCTGCCAAATACCTCGGGATATCTAGATTTGTTCCATACATACAGACTAATTGCACCTGTGCGATACGTCAGACACATGGGACGCATCGGATGTACTGCCTGTGTCAGCAAACTTGCATTTTTTGTCATTGTCCTTTGTGAGTGTGTGTCTGTGGGGGAAGATAATCCTGCTGCAACAATCCCTCAAGATTTTCCAAACAGTCATATTATAGGCATAAAATTAATCTGACATTCTAATCTAACTAGTTGTGTTATTTTCCATGGTGCATTCTCTTGCAGTTTATTTCTGATGGTTGATTTTTTTTGTTGTTGTTTTAAGCACTTGGTCCTAATAGTTTGTTAATCCTTTATTCCCTCAACGTGGTTCATTAGAGCCAGAATACATAAGAGGAAAATCCAAGTGCCTTCCTGCAGGTAAGAGGGCATATGTGGTTGTCAAACTGCATATTTTGCAGCTGCTGGTTGTAACAACTGTAGCTTAGCTTTTTTTAAAAAAAAAAAAAAAAAGGAAGAGGTGTTACAAATTTTTCCAATTTAACTTTTCTGATGGTAAGAATGAGCCTTTTTAGTAAGGTGGCTGAAGAGCACAACTGAAGAAGTTACCCCTGTTGCAGTTGCTGGTGTGCTGTAGACCTGGCTCCTAACGAGATGATTTGCAGGTGGCTTCTCTTTCCATTAAAGTTAAACATTGAGTCTGCCTGCTGCTTATAAAGTCCTGGTAGGTGCTATGGTGGAACTGGAGGGGAAGGTTACTTTTCCAAATGTAAATGCAATTTATGTCCAGGTCCCTGCAAAGCTTAGCAAGCAGCCTCGAGGGAAGGCTATGCCAAGTGTCATTTTAAATTTTTTTAGCCTTTAGACCTCAAAGAAACTTCAGATTTGCCTGTTAGCTAAGCAGCAGTCCTTCATGGCTGGCTGTGCTGCGATTTATTTGCTGGAAAACGTGAGAAGGACCCATGTCCTTATCAGGACAGGCTCAGGCCTCTGTCTAGAGATTTGTGGAGTAACTCAAGGTGTGTATGTTACACTGGTCTAAATCCCAGAGAAATCCGTTTTAAAACATGCAGATCACGTGGGACCTGCTCTTTCCGAGCCTTGCTGAGGGCCGATATACTTCTCAGCCATTGCTGGCAAACCTCAACCTTTTAACACAAGATTTTGTGTGGCGATGCAAATGCTAACTCTACTCATCTTGGGGTCTGCATGCGAGTGCTTTGGTATGGAGTGAGAACAGCTCAGGTTCCCGTCCCTGCAGGATGTCCAGTAGCTCTGGTAGACCGTGCGGTTGTGCCAACTCATACAAAAGCTCTCTGAGGTGACAGAGATGTAAAACTGCTAAATACTTGGCTAAATTGTGAATCCCACTCTGCATTTGAGTTTGTGCGTCTGAACCCTTTTCCCCTTTAATAAGCAGCTGGTCATTCTGTCCTTCCTGCAGTTCCTTCTGCCTTTTTTCTGCAGTTTTAATGCCAAGTGTCACGCGCAGTCATTCCTGAAATGGAAGTCCCAAACACTTTGTCATGGCTGGGAGAGAGGAACCTCATTAAAACGAGAGAGCAGGAAATAATGAGTGCAACCTCTAAATGCTGCTGATGTTTCTTGTTTCCTTCACACACTGGTGCACCATATAAAAATCTAACTGCTTTTGAGGTTTTAAACTGCTGACACAGTGTTTGGCCCTATTCAGTGGTAATCCAGCTGTTGTGACATTGGCTTCCTACTTTATAAAGTAAGTGGGCATTTTGCTTTTCAGGACAAGTCATTTGCTTTTGAAGACCACTCCTGCAGATGTCGAACACCTGTCCCCCATAGAATGAGTTGTTTTATTATGGGTAGATAAAACCTGAGCTGTGGTCCCATAGCACACAGCAACAGAGACAGGGTCTGTGAATACAATACCTCAGGGTAGATGCCCCCACGGTGGGTATTCTGCAGCAGTTAAAGTTGCTTATCAGTTGCTTTAGGTGCCTGTTGTTCCCTTCGGGGCTCCATCAGTAGCTGAGATTTGTGTGGGCAGGTCATTGAGGAGTAAAGCAATTTCTTTTAAACAAATTCATTTGTGTGACAGGAAGTCCCTTCTGAGGAGGTGGGAGGGCTGTTAAGTCAATGTGAAAATGCTGTTATTCTTCAGAAAAAAATAATTCTACCCTTCGAACAAGTCAGTCCAAAAGAGCAGGAGCAAACAAAGTAGTGCTAAAATAAGTGGAACTCTGAGCTCCATCGTATAATTTAATTCACAAAGAAGTGTGCACCCAGCATGGAAAGGAGTGCTTAACCCAATAACAGGGAATGAAAGACCTTTTGTTTTGGTGCATCAAACTACAATGCAGATTGTCCCTTGCCTTTAACAGCAAGATGTCTTTGGCAGTAATCATAATGAATAGACTGAAGGAGCTGGAAATTTCTGTTAAATTGGTATTTACATACCACATCCTGTTGGACACCCAGAGAATGTCTTTCATTTCAGCGAAGCTGCTTGCAATAGAGATAATCTACAGTGAAGTTTTTAACAGCATCTGTCTGCCTTTGGAATGGCATTAATTCAGCTTTGATGGGAAGTATGAGGAGCGCTGTACTGGTGTATGTGTGCACTCACAATGCTGAGCTTTTTCTGTCTGCCTTGCAAACTGATCTTAGCCAGTAATATTTTCTTGTCTTCTTTTCTTATTTCCTTTCCTATGATGTGCCACCTTTCCTTTCCACTGTTCTCCCATCTTTTCCTCCCTGTCCTTCATACCACCCTGCCTACAACCTGGTATGCCATGCCTTCCTCCTGCTAGCTGGAAACCTTAGGCTGCAGCAGATTGTAAATCCGGTTGATCCTCTGGAGATCCTGGCAGATGTGCACTGGACACACATCCGTGAAAAAGAGGAGGAGGAAAAAATGGTCCCAACCTCCAAGTCCTCCACCTCCAGAGGTAATCTCCCCCAAGCCCCAAACCATCAGTTCCTGGATCACGGTTGCTTCTGCGCCCTTTCAAGAGGGGTGTGCTTCAGCAGGGGCAGCAGTGATCGAAAGGAACTGCTTTCAGATTACGCTGAAATGACACTGGGTTAAACATTTTGCTTTTCAGGTCAGTGTCTACTTAAAATGACTGTTTTCTCAGCTCTGTGGTGGTGTGACTTCTTCCAGCTGGTTTGCCTGCCTGCTTTGGCTCTGTAGCCTTTTCCCTTACTACACACATGATTTGGTAGTGCTGGCACTGTAGGGATAGTAACAGGAGCTGTCGTGTGCTTTTTG